TTGAACACCACTTACAGCCAACAGAGCAAACAAATCATATTTAAATTTAACTAAATATATATTTAGGTATGTACTGGAATCCAACACATTTCAGGCCACGGAGTTCCACCCCGATCCCCTTTACCTCCCCGACCTTGCCCCTACACTGTGCTAGCAAACAGACTTCCCACAGAAACATGATGCCCCAGATGAGGGTCCTGCTGTGAAGTTATTCTGTGCTTCAGTGGTTTATTTTTCAGACAGATCACTCTCCTGCAATATTTCAGAGTGAAACCATGTAAACAGCTCTACCAACACAGCTGAGGGGATTGTGCAAGAAGTAAGAAAAAGCAGCTGTGGACTTAAAGTGTTAAAGCCAATTTTGCCACTAAGCATCTATCAAGAACCTCATAGGCATTACTACTGTAGTTTCCTCCTGTCAATGGGATGGGGAAGAGAAGCAGAACAAAAGCAAGAACAACACAGTAAAACCTGTGGGTTGAGATAAGAACAGTTTAGTAATTGAAATAAAATACAATAATAATATTATAATTATAATGGTAATGAAAAGGGAGACAACAAAAAGAGAGAGTGAAATAAAATCCAAGAGGAACACCTGATGCACAATACAATTGCTCATCACCAGCTGACCAGTGCCCAGCTCATCCCCCTGCAGTGACTGGTCCCTCCTGGCCAACTGCCCCCAGTTTATATTCTAGGTGTAACAGTCTATGGTGTGGAATATCCCTTTGGCCAGTTCAGATCAGCTGTCCTGGCTGTGCTCCCTCCAAGCCTCTTGTGCAGCTCCTCACTGGCAGAGTATGGGAAACTGGAAAGACCTTGACTTAGGGTAAGTGCTGCTCAGCAACAACTAAACCTTCAGCTTGTTATCCACATTATTCTCATACTAAATCCAAAGAACAGTACTGTACCACCTGCTAGGAAGAAAATTAACTCTATCCCAGCTGAAACGCGGATAACATATAAACAACTTCACCAGTGCAACTAAGGGAGCTGTGTAGAAGCAGGAAAAAAGCAGCTAAGGAGTGCAAGCTTTTAAGACATTTGTATCATTAAGGATTTATCAAAAAACTCACAGGCATCCTTATAAAGCCAGAAAGTATCTGCCATAGTCTCAAGGACAGAGGAAAAAACGGGACTTCAGGTTCCCTTTACTTTCAGGCAAACCTGTAACATGACCTGGTCTCTTTGCTTGAACACTGGAAACTAAAACACCACTGTCAGAGAATATGAAAGCAAATTGCTAAAACTTTACAGAACTTCAGACATCAAGGTATGCAATAAATGTGGCATACACCATCAGTGATATTCAACTCCTTCCGATCCATTTTCCTTCCTGCCCATTTCTGCCCTAATAATTTTCACTATTTTTACACAAAACATGCAAGGATTTCAGATCTCCTAGCATCACTACAGTTGTCATCCTTCTTGGCAGACACGCGTGACAATTGGATAGGTACCAAATGCAAGACTAGCATCAAACACGGCATCTACAGTCCCTTCTACTTATAGTTCAGGCATACTGGTAAGCCAAGATATGAAAGAGCATTCTAAAAATCTGCAATAGCTGTTGTCCAAAGATTTAAAGGCACATTGACAAGATTTATTCTTCAAAGAACCTGGGAAATGAAACAAAGCAATAACTAGATGACTCACTGGAAGCTCATCTAACACTCACATTTGAACTAAGATTCCCTGTCCTCACTGCATGTACAATAAAGTTTCTGCACCAGGTTTCCAGACTAGTGTGAAAAAATGGTAAAAGACATTGATCTGATAACAGAAAACAAAAGCCATGTAAACACATCAAGAAAAAAACCCAATCAATCAAAGAGAAAATTTAAACTCACAGCTCTCGATCAAGATTTTCTGTAAGAGCCGATTCCCATCAATATTACTAAGAATATGGTTATTTCTTAAGTGCAATCTCACAATTTACCTACAGATCTTCTGATTGATTAATGTGAACTACATGTATTCCATGTGAAATATCAATAGGCTGTTTTGATTCATTTTACTTTTTGTCTCTAAAAGACAGCCAGCCACAACTATCCTGCTCATCCCTGTGCACCTAAGACATCAGAATACACCCCCCTTTTCTTGCATGTGGTCTGACCTATAAAGATAAACGAGCATCAGGGTGGCAGAACGGGCAGGGCTAATGCCCCGCCCCCTCCTTTGGCCACGCACAGGACCCCAAGACACCACACCACCAATGCAGCCTGCAAAACAGGGTGAAGGAAGACACTGTCCTAGCCTAGAATTCATCCCCTGCAAGCCTCGAGGTTAACTGTCATCAGTGATAGCTGTAAACTTGACATCCTGTAAACAGCAACTTGAAAGGCCGCTTCCAAAATGAAGACTCAATATTTTGTTCTTAATTCATCAAGCTCTGGTAGTCCCACTGAATTAAATTCAAAGAGCTGCCTGCAAAGACAGAACATTCTACTCTAATTTAACCAGGAGCAACATACCTTCACAACACAAAGTTTTGAGCTTCTAAGACAAGCTTGAAAACCAAGAGGGGAAAAAAAAAAAAAGTAAAAATCACCATGACAAGTCCATGCAAGTCTCCCAGGAGAGCTTATAAAAATAATTCTATTCTTTCATGTATGACTCCTTGCAAATCAGTCCATGCCAGCTATAAGCATTACAGTACCACTGTATCTATGACTCAGCAAGGGAATCTGGACATATGAAGAAAATCCACTTACTGAAGTAAGAGGCAAAGATTTAAAATGGCAACAATTACAGCAATGCCACAGTAAGTGAACCAAGATGACTTGTGTCTGTGCTCCTTGTATGCCTAAGCATACAAACTAGATTAGAATGTCAAACCCATTTATACATCGGCTAAAGTTTGAAAGCAAGTAAAACAATGCTTAGTGCAGCTGAGCTGAAATACAAAGGGTTCAACAGCTGTTTTCATCTCTAGTGAACAAAAACAAACACTGGCTCCACATTCGACACAAACCACTGAACTCTATTTCCATGATTACCTGTATGCAGCCCAACTATGCAAGTCTAACTTTAGATCTAACTTTAAAAAAATGTGGGCAATTGGCAGCTTTGAGTTGTAACTTAAGATACAAGCTTGATTAACTAAGACGTTCATCATATGTTTACATATAAGCACGAACAGACAGTAATGTTTGCAGAACATTATTTGCTGCAGCAAAGGAGCAAGTTCTTAAATGGCTCAACTATGCTTTGGTCCACCGACTAGGTCTAGCTAGAAGTAAATTATTCCAAGCGGGGTGAAAACATCACAAGCCATACTTTCTCCATACATTACCTTTATCCAGATAATCTACAAAATGAGCACTCAGACCTTGTCCTGTAAACACCATGGTCCATGTCTGTATGTTACTAAAAGACTCCTCTTCCACACCCTCATAAATACTTCCTATAGAATTAATTTTGTTATGTTGGCAGCAGGCTCTTAGTCAACAAGGGGAGGAGGAAGAAATATTTTCATTGATTTCTTAAGCAAAAGAGAAGGATCTAAGAAGGAATTCCCCTCCCTGCTTCTCTCTAAGAGGGATGCTAATACAGAAGTAGGATGAAACACTTGAAACAATAAAGAACCTTAGACGACTCGTCCTACTTCCCTAACATCTTTCAGACAAAGAAGGCAAAGCTTTAACTCCTCAAGTTTCTCAGTGCCTCAAAAATAGTTATGTGCAGTACAAATTTTGTATCTGAGTTTCTGGTTTTATTTTCTCCATTTCTAAATGGAGCGTGGAGCATGTGGTAAAACCTGAGGTTGATCACATCCCAGTGGTATATCTGTCAAACACTATGTATTATGTTACACTGGTTTGGAGCAAAGCCTCGAGCACTGCTACACTGCCTAAACTAAATTCTCACACAAATGAAGTACCATTGTATCAACACGTATTTGATTATCTCACTATCGTATTTTACGTTAGCACTCGACATGTGTGTCATCTTTCACCCAACGGCCTCAAATGGGATGGCGGGGGAGAGCAAGTAGAAACACGAACCGACAGGACAGCACTTATCCCACCGGCAGCAGGAATATTCCAGAGGCACGAGCGAACACATCGCGAACAAAGCTCTTCCTCCTAGTTTGTCGGGAAGCACCGCGGTAACACCTGCGCGGAGAGGAGCGGGACAAAGCCCCAGGTATCCCGGGGCAGCAGCAGTCGCAAGGCACGGGAGCTGTCACGGGCGGGCTGAGCGGCCCCGGCCAGAGCCCCGCGATCATAGCGGGCGAGCGCAGCCGCTCCCGCACCGCCCGGACACGGCCGGAGCCCCGCGGCTGCGGGAACAGGAGCCCGCACCGGCTCCTGCGGGACACGGTCCCAACCTCCGCCCGCGGGCTCCGCGGGGAGCGGCGCCGGGCCGGGGGGGCGAGGCGGGACCCGACAGCGCGAACGAGCACAGCCGAGGCCGCTGCCGGCGCTCCGGACCGCAGACCCTGCGGGCCGGGAGCGGCGCGGGAAGCGGGGCTGCTCCCCCGGCGAGCGGCCCCGCGGAGCTGCGGGTTGGGAGCGGCGCGGCGGGACGAGCTGCCCGCAGCCGGCCCGGCGGGGCGCGCTCCGAGCTCCGCCGCGGGGGCGTCGACGGTCTCGCCCCTTCCCCTCCGCCGCCGCGACACCGAGCCCGCGCCCCCCCTGCCGGCCCAGCTCCCCGCGGTGTCTCACCCCGGCAGCCGCTCGCCGCCGCCATCCTCCCGCTCAGCGCCGCCCGCTCCCGCCCGGCCCCGCTCCGGCCGCCGCCATTTTGATCCCGAGCCCCGGGCTCGGCCGGGCAGCGGGAGCGCGCACGGCGCCTGCGCGGCGGCGGCGCTGCAGCGCGCAGGACACGTGGTCCGCGTGGAGGGGGCGGGGCTGGGGCGGGGCCGGGGCGGAGGGGCCGGGCGGGCCCGATCCTGAGGGGGTCCCTCGATGCCACCGCAGCGACCCCCCCGCGGTGTTCCCCCTGTGCCACCACAGTCACACCCCCCACCCCCCCCGGTGTTCCCCTGGTGCCCCTCCGGTGCTCCCCCGGCACGGCCGATCTGCAGTCGTGAGGGAGAGTGGATCTCGAAGTGTGAGCCCTTGCCGCGACACTCCCTCCCGCACCGCGTGCGCTGCTTGCCCTGTGTGACACATCCCGCAAGCTCGTTACCGTGCCCAGATGCAGAGGTCTCTGCACTGTAAGTTGTGTGCCAGCACATGTTCTTTGTCCTTGAGACTTAAGCTGCTTATATTAAGCATATGTCTGTCTGCTTGCTTTGCCACACTGCTGTGAGCTCATTACAGGCAGGACACAGATTCCAGTTTCATTGTTCATGCTCACCTGGAAATAAACTCCCACCACCTTCCCCACTTCTGATAACCTCTCTCAGCATCTGAAATTAGTATCCAACACACCGAGATGAAGGTATGTGCCAGCATAAGAATGTCCCTAGCTGTTCCCACCACTTCTACCACATTTTCTTCAAAGAAGGGTGCATGTGAATACTGTCAGGATTAGCCACCACCTGTAAGATCACTGTTTTCTGAATCAGAGAGAGGGACCAAAAATCCAAAATAGTCAATGTTCTATTAGAACAATAAAACCACTTAGGTAAACTGAACTACTTGAGCCCTCTAAAAAGAACTAAGCACCCTATTTCTATATGAAAAGGTCTGACAAAAGAGTTTCATATAGAGGCCAAAAATCTGATGAAGTCACATGGCAGAAAATATTCAGCAAGCTGAAAGCCACATCTGTGTTCGTTCTTGGTTGGTAAAGGCGAGCTATGACTGATTACATCTCCTCCTGATTCTGCTGACAGTCCATTTCTGGAGGGATGCCTTCCTCCCACTTGGCATCGTGCTGTCCTCCATCTCTGTAATTAACTTGCCCAAATGCAGCAGACCTCCCTAACTACCACTTGGCATAGCATCCCATAGTGCTAGGGAAAAAACAACCTCTAATATATTTGCCCATACTGCAGACTTTTCCTACTGGTTTCAGCCAAAAAACGGAGGAGAAACACAGTTGGGCTCATGGACAGTATCAGTGTACACCTTGGGGTTTTAACCATCTTCGTTATTTATATGGTCTCCAGTATTGTAGTATATGAGAGAATCACAACTATTGACTTCCATATCTGCACAGTACCAGAGTAAGATGAGGGAATTTGTGTCATTGTAGTTTCATTGATAAGGTTCACACTGCCAGGGTTATGCTTTTATCTGTTCAAGGGGGACTATGCCTGTAAATGTGATGTCTTTGCAGGCTTTTGTTGCTGTTGTCAGGAGAGCTCATAAAACTGACTGGCAGGAGAGCTCAGCCTCTTTGAGCTGCTGCTTACTACAGCCTTTCCATCTTCTATTTATGTCTCTCTTCTTGCTCCTGCCCTGACCAGCTTTCCATTCTCTGCTCTTAGGGACCATTATATGGAATACCACATACACAGTGTTCAGCTTAGTTTTTTTTTACCCTGGTTTTATGTAGAATTGGGGTAAATATGTTTATACTGCCTGCCTGAGCATATAAGGCTTTATGTCTATGACCTCTGTGCTAAAATATTTTTAGCTCATTGATCTTATCTCATTTGGGTCCTTTTAGACACTGCAAGGCATAGGAAAGGCTTCATTTGTCTGAGCCACCAAAGTCAAGAAATCAGTAGACACAAACCTATAGAAAACTAATCTGTGGTAGTTTTAAAGCATGGAACTGTTAATTTAAATGTATCTGTTAGGTGAAGTGTTGCAGATGAGGTTGTTAAATATGAACAGTGTGAGACAACTCCAGTCTCTCTATAATATTCATGATTTATAATATCATTGTTACAATTTTAGCAATGGCTTGCTGAGAGCAGCATAGAAATAAGAACCAGTTGAAGTTATGTAAGTAAGATTCGGGTCACAGAGCTTTTAGACTAAGGGGAAATAGTACACCAGCTTGGTTTTCAGGTGGCAGGAACCAGTTATGAATTTGTTCCTAAAGTTCTATGAGTACATAAACACACCCATTCAATTCTCCAGCAAACCTGACTCATAATCATGTAGTGAAAATGAGAAGGAAAAAAAGTCTTGCAGGCTGAATGTTTGGTTCATTATTGGTCTTTTTTAATATTCTAATGCAATTAACTAGAATGTAGTCAAAATGGATGGTTAGATTAAAGTGCCAAGATCTTGCTGTGCAATAGTCATCCTTTTAGTAGCTAAAATAAACCTTCTTTCTTATGACTCAGAGGCAAACAGTGTGTTGGGTAACAACTTGGGGAGACATCTGGCAAGTTGGAAGCGAGGAAGGCTACCACAAGCTTTCTTTCGCTTTAGATTTTTTAGAGCATAGAGGTCACCCCTTGAGTGCAGCACACTGTCATTGTCTTCCAGGATTGTGTGGTCTCATGGGCTAGACAGCTCAGAAACACACCAAAAGTAAGCTGACTAGCTCCTTTTGCCACCTGGGACCTTGGTGTGGAAGACGAGTTATAAAACACTGAGTTACAAACCTCGCTGCGAAGGAGTGGGAATTGGAAGCTAATTGCATTTACATGCAGGTAATATGTTTTCTGAAATGAGAGGATAGGAGATTCAGACTGTCTGACAAACACCACCAGAGCATGTGCACACACATCTCTTCCGTGATCACTTAATTATAATCCTCACCCCACACTCTAAGAAATAAATCAATGTTCCAATTTTATCAGGATTGAGATATGTTTGATCTGATCGATTTAAAATAATCTCTTGATGTCCTAGTGAACAAAATCTTATATATGCCCTAAATGTTGTAAAATATCCTCTCCTCTTTGTAATAAACAATGTGCAGAATGCGAGACTGAGCCACACAACAGTTTGCAGTAGCTCTGCTCATAAGCAATGATGTAATACTTTATTCATGTTTTTGCAGAGACTTCTGTAAAATACTTATCAACGGTAATCACTGTACATACACAGTGCACTTTATCTCCAAATTTGAGTATTAGTATGAAAAATTGATTATGTGCCACCACTTATTAAGAATCAAACCAACTCAAATGTCTATTGCAGTTCATTTACCCTTCATTTGCACTAGGAAGTTCAAGCTCTGAAATGCCCTTTTGATGATATTTATCAGAGTTTATTGAAAAGAAAATACACTTGGAAAAAAACCCTGACCAGTTCACTTCCATTACTTCATTTTGTGTTCATGATTTATTTCTTAGACTTTTGGATGTTTCTTTTAATTTTCAGTCCAAATGTGTACTGTTTGTTATTATTAATGATCTATTTGTATTGCTGTATTGTGTGCAGGGTCTAATCAAATCCAGGGTCTGCTGTGCTGGATTGTTTGTCAAACTCAGATTACAGTACATGGTCTAGAGAATTTACCAATTAACTGGGAGGTGTGATCATGCAAGATACCTTCTGCAAACCAGTGAGAAAGCCAGATGTGTGTAATTTTTAGTGAGAGTTGGGGTCACACCACATGTTGCAGAAGGTGCCTACTACAGAAATAATGTCAGCTGCATTAGTTAGAGAATGTGATTCTGTTTTACTGTAAACAACACTTTTTTATTCATGACCTTTTGAAGTGTGACTTTCTGATGTTATGGATCAAATCCTTAAATTCTAATTTATCCTGTTAATTTTTTTTTTTTATTTAGCATATATATTTTAGTTCAATTTCATGGAACTCAAAGCAGTAAATCACGGCTAAAGAAGAGCTTAGAATACTTCAGAGTATCATTTGTTTATTGGTAACTGATCCACAATAACTGAATGCTCAAGGGCTGAAAAATAGATTTAAGACTGATGCTTATTATTTTAGACAGGCTTCATTTTTATCAGTGATATAGATGAGATTCTGCAAATATATAGATCTGGACTATTACTAGCTTTTTAATGTTGCTTGTTTTCTGTTATCTTTCTTATAACCTGAGATTTTATCACTTTCTACATCTACTTTAAAATTTTGTAGAAGAAGTTTATTTGCCATACTCGTGAAAACATTGCTCATTATACATCATCTGAGAGACTCTCAAGGAACAGACTGAAGATGACATGCAAGCCACAGTAACTGGCTTTTTATAATCAGTGACGGCAGAGCGAGAGATGTGCTTCCTTGTGTGAAATGGGTGCTGTGCAAGCACAGCAATGACAGCAATGTTTTTTCTACCCTGGTTTTCCTTGTTCCTTTAATCACCAGATCTTCATACAGACATGAAGAAAACCTCTGTTCTGGCAAGAGGGCTGAGGAAGAAGGGAGATGAGGGCAAAGGAATTTGCTGCTGGCAGGAGAGAAGGAGGCTGCTCTGGGGTACCTGTGATGGGGACTGCCACGTAACTGGCTGCTGTGGGATCTCTGCCTGCTCTGTGATGAAGCAAATTCCCCACCAGCACGTGCTGGGGAAAGGTGAAGGGCATACAGCCACTGAACGTTTCTGGGGAGCCTGGTGAATTAGTTATGGCGAAATAGTTGCATCCAGCAGGAACAAAGTGCGAACTATTATTGTGAAGGAGATGTTGAAGAGGCTCTGCCCCAAGCATGTAGCAGAAGATATATGTACATCAGGGGCCTTTGAAGATGCACAAGGAAAAGAAGTGACAGTAGGCTCCCATGTTAAGGAGAGGCCTGGAGACAGACAAGGGTCTGTCTGTGGAAGAATCCGGCAACTCAAGAAATGAAGACAATGTTGGTGGTGATCTATGCCAGGAGGTTAAACCTTACAAAACTACTGGCCTGTGAAGTCCATGGGCTGACAATGATGGGCAGCCCGTGGCCATTACATTTAGACAAACCTACACTGGGAAGTATAAAATTAATTAGTTTGCCTGCATGACCTTTATGTAGCTAACTTCTGCACATGCACAGGGAAAATCTCTCACTCTGATCACCAAGGCATATCCTAAAAGGAATGTTACTTGATTGTAAATCAAATTTCATTTGGATTAACCTTTAGTTGGGTCCTTAAAAGGGGGTTGTTATGTGTACATAAAGGGGTTGTTTGTTGTTACTGTTGCTACAGTGTCACTGATGCTTTTGGTGAGGATATAATCACTCAGCCTGTGGCTGCATTCCTTGGTAAATACTCTTTGTAATTTGTCAGTGCAGAGAAAGATGCCAAAAACAAATCGCTGATGATGATGGCAATTGCTTGCCTTGGCTGTGTAAACTTGCACTGCTGGTCTTTTTCTCTCACTCAGTACTTTATAAAATGATCCTTTTTTCCCC